ACAAGCGAGCAAACGTCATTTTAATACATGCTAAGAGGGTGTTTACCTCGTGGAAGTGCATGTTAATCTGATCCACACTCTCAGAAATCAAAAACACGTCAATCTGATCAGCAACACCCTCGCCATTAATCTTCCTCTCACATATGGCCGGATCTGCTTTCACAGAAACACAGCGTTATAATCATGTAATGCCACATTTATAACTGTTCAAACCAAGCGGAAACCTCCCGCTCTCCCTCTGGAAGCAAATACGGAGGTAACTGAAACTGCAACTCATGGAAATTCTGCTAGTCCTGGCTCCACAATTTCTATTGAGCCCACTGATATAATGGCCAACTCTACAACAGAATAAAGGTGTTTACAGCCTGGTACAAAGAACGATTTTGGCTCAAATAGCTAATATTACCCTTCATGACAACTGTGAGGGGGGTGAATTATTTATAACTCATCCGTTTCATTTATATTAGGTTATATTAAGTCTGCATAATTAAGGGCGTGGCCACTTGAGTGACAGCAAGGTATCGCTGGTCATCACTTCACCTCAGCTGATTCCGGCTGATTAGCTGCTGAACTCGGCATATACATCCTATTTTTGCGTTTTTTAAGTGGCTTTACAGAGTCAGTCGCCTTTTGGAATTATTTTCTACAATTATCAGATGATATGGCATACTGCGTGCACTTAAGTTTGTTCACAAAACAATTACAAGGCCTCCATTTCCCTGGTGAGTGAAATTATATACTTATATACCATCTCTATGAATGTATTTGTTTTATTTAAGATCATTTATAATGATCTATAGAGCTGTAATGCACTCCAGAGTCTGCCAGATTGATTAGCTGTAGGCTCTAGATCAGTCATACACTGTTACTCTGGAGTTCATCAATAGTCTTGCATTTACTAACACAGGCTATATCTGAAGTGTTTGGAAGTGATTCACAGTCTTCTACCTGTAGAAAAAACGTTATAAGAGCAATGTTTAGCAGCTTACAGCAGTGTTTTTAAAAGTCTAAACACTTTATTTATACAGTATACAGCCAAGCACATGTGGTCAGAACACAAACCAGTCGCAGGTAATGAAGTATTAAGCGTTTCTCCCAAAGAAAAGCACATCTAAGCAAAATGCTAGCAGGCGTCTGCTCACGCTCCGCCTCTTTGCCCTTATTTGGTATCCCCTGGTTGATGTAATGAGGCGCGAACAAAATGGCGATGGTTGGCCACGCCTACTGGTAGCTTCTTTTAGGTTGTTCAGAATTTACAAATTTAGATATTTTGTGATTCATATTTTTGCTATTATTATTATTATTATTTATGTTTTTATTTTCATTATGAGACCTTAAGCTTTCCTCCAACTTTTCATGTAGGAAAGTTTGAAAAAATGTAACTTTTATTGACATTTTTAACTGTTTAAAGTGATATATTGTTTGGGTTGGTGCTTTAGATTAAGATGCAATAGCACTGTAATAAGCTGCCAGTATATTCTCAGTTAGTTCTTCTCAGGTCTCTACACTGGCTCTCAGTTACATTCGGAATAAAGTTTAACGTATTATTACTGCTCTATAAACCTTTTTCATGGCTGCTGCATGGAGGGCGCCATAGCGACCAGCTTCTTCCTGTAGAATGCTAAAAACTTCCGTTCACAGCGTGTACAACTGGTAATTTGCGCTCCGAAAATGGGTTTCAATAACGTTTTTAATGGATAACAGAGTGTTTTTGTGACACACAACTTAGAAATGTGTCTGTTAAAGCCGTTATGATCTGTCACGTGTGGTTCAAGCGCGTCAGAAATACGAGAAAAACGTTCTCCTAGTTCACGTGTCTGCCGTCAGAAATACAGTGTGTGTGTGCGTTCCCCGCCTGTCAGCTGTTAGCTCAGCGGCTCTTTAACACACACACACACACACACACAGAGAGAGAGAGAGAGAGAGCAAACCAGAGTTGGCATGAAACTTAACAGGTATAAAAGTCGTGCAATTTTCAAAAATGAGCAATAAAAGTCTGATATTGATCCTCTGCTGCTGATTTGCTGTTCATTCTAATCGTGAGCCGTTTGTGTTTTATTTTGTGTGTTGTTTTCACCACGGTTTGTGTTTTTCTGTGTTTTCGAAATGACACTCGCCTATATTTTGGATGGACAACAGTATTAGCTCAAAGAGGATAAAAGCAGGTAAAATAGATTAAAACTATCGTTTCAAAGCTGTCCAAATGTGACTGTTTACACGAATCAGCTGCCGACCGGAAGTTCTTCGCATTCTCCTTGCGCATACACGCAAAGCATCATGGGTAATTTTGCGTTCCAAGAAAAAGGTCTATAATTCACTAAATGGCCTAGAAGCTCAAAACATCACAGATATGCTCACTGAATACAATCACTCAGATCTTGGGGATCAAGTAAATTAGAAATTCCAAGAGTTCATTCAAAGCAGGGTTGATCAGCCTTCAACTACTAACAGCGCCCCCTGCTGCTGGAATCAGCTTCCAGAAATGATCTGATGTGCTCCAACATTAGGCACATTCAAAAGACTGGCCTTTACTGAATGAGCACTTTGCTGCGTCGCACAAATAGCATTAAAACAGTATGTCTTTCTTTTGGTTTTTATTCTTTTATAACCCGTTTTAACACAATTTAATCTGTTTTCATCTGTTTTAATCACTTTATTTTCTGGTTTGTTTTATTCTTGTTTATGTAAATCGCTTTAAATTACCACTGTGTATGAAACGAGCTATATAAATAAACCTTGCCTTGCCTAGATTACAGACTTAATTCTCCATATATTATTTATTATACAATAGTGTTTCAAACCACTAAAGTATTAGGCTAGTAATAAAATGCACAGCTGAGTTTATCATCATCAAACATTCAACCGAGCAGAGATCAACATCCCACGATACATTTCAAAACCGTAATTATTTTGCATTTAATTATTCAACTACTGCACATCTGAATGCATTTCGACTTCCTCTGAAAACACTAAGATGTTTATTTCATTTTTATTTTATTCGTCTCTATTGAAAGTATCTGCTTGCAGACTGTTTATTATACTAATGCACTCCCCTACAGAATCATCCCGATCAATCTAAAACTACTCTGTAAAACCCAACAGTCACCTTTATCAAATGAAATGAGTGCAGTTAACTCAAAATCAGCTGAGTGTTCATTCTACTCATTTGAAAAGAGTTTTGAACTCGGTGTTGAAGGTAATGAGTTAATGAAATACCTCATTAATTCAACTTAAATGGAGTAAGTTCACAGTACTCATATAGATTAGTTTTTTAACTGAAATGGTTTGTTGCAATCGGTTTACTCAAACAGTTTGAGTTGCCTTAACTTATTGAGTTTACAGTACTCATTTGGTTTAAGTTCTCTTCATTTATTGAGTTTTACTGTGCTTAATTTGCTTCGTTTACTCAAATAGATTAAGTTCACAGTATTGATTAGAGTTAGTTTTTGAACTGAAATGGTTTGTTGCAATCGGTTTCCTCAAATGGTTTGAGTTACCTTAACTTGTTAGGGTTTTCACTGTATGAATTCTTTCCAAACTATTATTAAACTGACACTGTAAAAAACGCGTAGAGATTTGAGTTGGGACAACATGAAGGAATTAAGTTCACTTATTTATTATTATTTTTTATACAAATTTAAGTGGGCTGAACATAAAACAATTATGATGTCTAAACAATCTCCAGAATTATATTGTTTCAGCTCAATTTAAATCAGTAGCTTGAACAAACAGCAAACATAATTTTTTGAGTGCATCTAGTCAAATGATATTTATATCGCAATGTATATCGCAGAATTAAAAATATTGCAATATTAGATGTTTACAATATCCCGCAGCCCTACACTGTAAATCATAAAATTCATTCATTCAATTTTTTCAGCTTAATCCCTTTATTAATCAGGGGTTGCCACAGAGTAATGAACCGCCAACTTATCCAGCATATGTTTCTACACACCGGATGCCCTTCCAGCTGCAACCCAACACTGGGAAACACACATACACTCTCATTCACACAATTTAGTTTATTCCATTCATCTATAGCGCTTGTGTTTGGACTGTGGGGGAAACCGGAGCACCCGGAGGAAACCCACATGAACACAGGCAGAACATGCAAACTCCACACAGAAACGCCAACTGACACAGCCAGGACTCGAACCGACGACCTTCTTTCTGCGAGGCGACAGCGATACCCACTGCGCCGCCTCATTAAATACAGTAACTGTTAATTAACAGATATATTTACAGTGTGTAGGCTGTGTAATATGTAGGCCGGTGTTATATACATGTTATATATAGCATGTTACACATAGAAGATTTGCATTAAATTGACTATGGCGAATGCAAAACACTTCCATGCAGTTAACAAGACATCCCTAATCTTCATTCTGAAACCAAAACAATCATAAGCATTTGCAAAGTTGCAATTAAATGATCTGTAATGCAATGCAATGAGGCAAACACGACAGACATATAGAGAAAACAATAAATGGAGCACCCCGAATTTGTTTTTGCTGATCCCACAAGACAGTTTCCAGGTCAACTAAAGTCCGATCCAAACCCGATGTCCTATGTGTGTGTGTGTGTGTTTGTGTGTGTGTTTGCAATGCTTTTCAACTTCAGTGGGTGTGTTTATATACATATGACACCAAAAAAACATGAGATTATCATAATCAAACCAAACGCATTCCTGTGTAAACACACACACACACACACACACACACACACAGACAGTCCGCCGTTATGTTCGCACATGACGCGTTTCAGCATCACAACATTACATGAATCGTGTGACCAAAACATCCACAGTAATATTTTTTTCTGTCACTTGTGTCCACCAGTGTCCATCAAACAATGTATGTTTCATATTAGTAGAGCACTGCACGCATAGATCAATGTTGACCTCTTTAACCATAACACGCGCGAGTTAAAGCCATGCACGGCGCAGTTTCTGAGCTCTGTTATTTACACACACATGAACAATAGCAGTCATCGCTTCATACCTCGGCACGCAGCTTGGTGATGAGCGGTCAATCTCCCACGTTGCGAATAAATTCATGGGCACGGGCATGATGGGAGCCGATCCCGGGGCTCCGGCTATGGCTGGTCCTCCCGCGGGCGCGGCGGCGGCGGCTGCGGGAGCGGGTGCACCGCCGCCCGGGCTCAGGAAGGCGGCCCGGACCCCTCCTCTCTCCACAGCCGCGGCCATCATCTGGCTCTGAGCAGGACTGGACCTCTGTGTTCACGCAGTGGGTCCGGACGGATTTCGGCTGCCTCTCATTTCTCACATACCCAGATTTGCGATGGTCAGAAGGCGGAGCTTCGGAGGAGAATGTGGAGCAGATGCGGCGCTGCGCTCGGCCGAGAGAGGGCGCTAAATCACGGGCACTCTTTTGGTTCAGTTCAGTTCAGTAGGCCACTGGCGCTCCACATCCTCTCCACAATGATTCTGTTCAACCGATTCGCGAACATACATGAGCAGTTTTAACAGTTAAACGTAATATTGGATGTATGAGTGCAGATGTAAAATAGGAAAATAATACAAAAAATGACAAATTATAATACCACAGTTTAGTTAACTTGCGTCCCCTGTCAATCATATCGATACATCCACATTTCTTTCATATTTAATTACCTAAGCTACTAAATAAGTTACCTTATTTTAGAGAAGCAGCAGCAGGATAATGTTAATCTCGCATTCGCGAGTCATTTATGCAAATAATCGCCTCAGGTCTTGTCCAAACATATTCTGATATAAATTCACATTGTTGTTATAGATTAAATATAACACGGAAATGCGGTTTAAACATGTTCCAGTTTGCTAGATGATAATTAATAGCCATTCAACAACAACTTTACCGAAGCCTCTCTACTTGACGGTTGGTCTAGCGCGTCCGCCATGTTTGTAGTTTGTTTACACTTTTTACCCAAGCTTGTAGTTCTAAACAAATTCACGTCCAACGTGCACTTTGTGAGCAATGTTAGCGGTTAGAGTAGGGACGCTTCTACACCTTTGGCATACTCTTTTCCATATGGTTTGGAACATACTAATTATATTTTCGAAGACTATTGAGCAATTCCAGCGTTATGGACGTGACATCAATAACTCAAATTCACAGAGAAAGTAGGCCTATATTGAAACATCTGTTTATATTTTCCAAAAATAACTAACCATGGAGTTATGTGGGCAGAAATATCAATCTATAAACATGTTTTACACTTTAAATGAGGAAAATAAGCATGTGTTCTGGATGTGACCAAAAAAGTCTGCAAGTTTACACCACATAGAAATTCTGTGAATTAAACTGCGCAACCCTACACAAACAATGCTAATCAAACGGATAAGAGTTGGCTCACTGAACAAATTGATTCATATTATTTTATTTGACATTTTTGTATATGAGGAAAAAAGCTTTGTTGTGGATGTGCCGTCTCTCCGTTGTGGATGTGACGGATGTGAAATTGCCACTTGACTTTAGTAAATCAAATATAATTAGTTAGAACATTGGCATGTTTAAGTATTTTTACAGTAGGTTACTGTATATCCTGCTGAAAAATCCAGCTTAAACCAGCCTAGAATAGTTGGTTGGTTTTAGCTGGTCGACCAGCCTGGTTTTAGAGGGGTTTTGGCCATTTCCAGGCTGGTTCCAGACATTTCCAGCCTGATCTTAAGGTAAAGTCTAGATCGGACATGCGGCCGGCCAGAAGTGCGATATGCACATTAATAAAGCAGCATTTTCTTACGACACTGTATAACAATAATTGATATTTTTACAGTACTGTGAGGGTTTGGTTTAGGGTTGGGGTGGGGGTAGGCGTTAAAAATACATTTTATTGGGTAATTTAATAGATAACATAACTAATACTCGGTACAACTACAGTTTTTACATTACTGTGACGGTTGGGTTTAGGGTTGGGGTGGGGGTTGACGTTAATAAAATACAACAAATGAGAAATTTAATAAATAATAGAAATAATTTGCGTTAACTTCCGGCCACAAAGTATCCGCTCTAGCAACACCCTGATCTTAGCTTGTCAGGCTGTGAGATGACCAGCTAAAATCAGCTTGACCAGCCTAGCCAGGCTGGGAGCCCAGCTAAAATCAGCTATGTCCAGCTTAAACCAGGCTGGTCAAGTTGGTTTTAGCTGGTCATTTTCCAGCCTGACCAGCTAAAACCAGGCTGGAAATGACTGGAAACCAGCCTGGAAATGGCCAAAACCCCTCTAAAACCTGCCTGGTTGACCAGCTAAAACCAGTCAACCATTCTAGGCTGGTTTAAGCTGGATTTTTCAGCAGGGTAAAACAAGCATACACAAAAAAACTTTGAAAGGGTTTCACTATTTTGGTAAAACCTTAGTTGTTTTTATGGCAAGGTTAACATTTGCATGGAATTTCTCTATTTAGGATGGACGGTATGCAAATTGGGAAGCAGCATGAGTTTTCTCAAGACTCCTTTCCACTGCACATGACCGGGAGTCATTCATTTCAAATGGAGAGGAAATGTCCAGGAGCTGCATGGAGTTCTGTTCATCTCTGTATGCCGAAAATTCGGATCCGAACTGAGCTGCAGATTCGTTGAAATATTTGAACTCCTGTGACCAGACCGTATGCGACCGACTGACCGGATGTGATGTATTACAGTGTTGGGGGGGGGGGGGGTTATTTTTTGAATTAGAAAAAGTCCATATTAACAAAAAACACTTCTGTTCCTAAATGTAAGTAATAAAAATATAATGTTTAATGTTGTCTCCACATTCCCTCCAATATTTTTAGCGGTCTATAAGTTTCCAGTATTCATTCATTCATTCATTCATTCATTCAATGGTGAACGCACAGAGAATAAAGGCTCTTGCTTTTGCACTCCTTCATTTCAGACACTGCAAGAACAGCTTCTCTCCCATGGTGCAGGTCAGAACTGAAAACTCTGTGCCACTGCCACAGGGGGGCGTATTCCGACAGTCGTGTCCGAATTTCGTGTGCAGTGGAAAGGCAGCTTCAGAGTAAATTTCAATCTACAGCTGAACAAATCATTATAGAACAGGTAAATGACAAATCATTTCGATATCTCTTCCTCTTTTGTTTGTTGTAGTGCTGTTTTCATACCACAATCTAGTAGTGATTGCACTGCTTTGGCTTTTTCAGGGTTAATTATTGTGAAATCCCGACTAAAAAGAGAAATACTGGGAAATCTCTGTAGACTCCTGATGGTATTTCATGCTGTGCAGCCTTATAATCTTAAAATGTGAGCAAAATCGTCTGCTTTGTTATTAATTTAGACATTATGCTAGAGAATCATTAAAATACTAGCTTGGCATGGATTTGGATGGCAGGTGAGGGACTATGATTTGAAGATATTATGCTAACTGATAGCATTTTGGCACCTACTGCACCTTCAATCTGGTAAAGAAATCAATCCCAGTCTGTTTTGTTCAGCGTTTTCTTTATAAATGTAGATGTGTAAACTCGCTGTCACTAAAATAACAGACTGCCATGCAATGATAATCAGCGAAGGGCAGGCAAACGATCCAGCAATCATGGTTTGATTTCAAATGTAAACCCTGTCATGTGTGAAATTCTGTAATGTACACTTGCACTCTAGTGACTCATATATTCACGCCTCGCGAACAGACCCTGGCATTTGGTGAGATGCATCACACATATTGTCTCTGCAGTTCACGGAGAAAAATAATGAGTTGCAAATTACTGTTGAAGCTCTGACAAATTGCTCTTGCATTACCTGCATATTAATGCCGCAGTGTGTGATTTTACCATTAACATTTAACATTCACTGAACTGTAGTTGTTCATTTATACGGCGATTACATTAATAGATATATTACAGAGCTGAAATGGAAAATGAAATGGCGCATGGGATTGATCATAACATCCAGAAAGCAAAACTCTGGACCAGATCTGTGCCAGTGCTCTTTGGCATTTGAGAACAATTTATCACAGATTTATACTCTGTTTGCTCTGATATGTTGCTTTGTGTGTGGTTGATCATTACTTTATAAAAAAAGGAGTTGGCATTTCCTTGGCAGTGTGAGTGCAGTGTGTGACGTCAAACCTCGGAGGCTACACTCTTACCCTAAAATCCTACTTCTTATTTTCAGTTGTATACACACTTGTATTCTGTTAGCTAGACAAAAACAGTACCCATGGTCAGTGAAGGACTGTAAGGTGGACATAATGGATATTTTAGTGGTCTTGTGCCATATTGACAAAGCATCTGAACATTTTGACTTGCAGTGCTTACGATGCCAAAGGGACGAAGCATTTTGGGGGCACTGACGGTTTAAATGAGAAGGAAATTGAGTTTTGATGCATGAGTGAACCGTTTTGGGAAAGGTATGAGCTTTTGCAAGTGTTGTGCTGAACTGTAACACTGTTTTGCCAAATGATCTTAGAATTTTGAGGATGTACTTTCTGTTTCAAAAAATGAGTCAAACTAATGGAGAAACACTGTAAAATGGTTTCCTCAAACAGTTTGAGTTGCCTTAACTTATTGGTAGGCCCACACGGAATCTGCGCGCGCAGAATTCTGCAGATTTCTGGAGATTTTTAGCCCATTATTAATTCTATTTATTTACTTGAGTAAATGTGTAAATATGAATTTATTCAGTTTTTATTCAGTAATTTATTACTTTTTATTTAATATATTAAGGTTTTAGTTAGCAGAAATCCGCAGATTTTTACCAAAATTCTCTGCAGAAATAGCAAAAATGTCCGCAGATTCCGTCTGGCCCTGCTTATTGAGTTTACAGTGCTCAGTTGGTTTGAGTTCTCTTCATTTATTGAGTTTTACTGTGCTCAAATTGCTTCGTTTACTCAAACAGATTAAGTTCACAGCACTCATTAGGGTTAGTTTTGAACTTAAATGATTTGTAGCAATCGGTTTCCTCAAATGGTTTGAGTTACCTTAACTTTTTGGGTTTTACAGTGCACTATATGTTATACTATGTATCGATGTTCTTCTAGCTGCAACCCAGTACTAGGAAATACCCCCACACACACACTCAAATTCACACACACACATTTTGATTTACCTCCTTACTTCTGTGATTTGATTGGACAGGAATCACAGGACTGACTTTTCTAATCCCCAGACTCAAAAAATAATACAATAGTCACTGCAGATTGAAGTAAAGTGGTGGAGTAAAAGTACTAATACCACACTAAAAAGTGCTCAAGGGAAAGTAAAAGTACACATTTACAATTCCTGAGATAAACTACTCTATTACAGTCATTTGAGTATTTGTTATTAGTTACTTAACACCACTGACCACACATCAGTACTTGCAACTAGAGGTCATTTACCAATTTAACAGACATCCC